AAAAGGGAGCCATCGACTGACAAAGAAAAAAAACCAAAAAAAACCCGAACAGTTGCTATTGACAAGTGTTTTCGAGCTACTTTCAAGTGTCTTTATCTCGCAAAAGAGCGCCAAAAAAAGGTTTTGATTTTTGATTTCTAATATTCAAAATCAAGCATAATCTCATTCCTTTTTCCCGGTTTCAATTCCCTGCACAATTTTGTGAATTTCAAAACAAATAACTATGAATGCCTCCGTTTACGCAGTTTATTCCAAATTTATTCACGAAAAAAAAGGGAAATTCTGTGAAAAACCAAAACAATCGTGGGTATTTACTGAACAAAAAAGCAAAAAAGTCCAAATACCTTGAGTCTCAACTGCTGTTTGTCCGAAACTTTCAATGTACAAACAAAATCAGCCTCATGTTCCACAGCTGGTCGCACTAAATCGGCACCCGCGCTCACTTCAACTGTCTTTTCGTTCGATAAAGCACTGTTTGTTGTTACCACAGCGCCTGATTCCGAGATATGCACCTAAAACACACAATTTCAGTCACACTCAATTGCGGAAATACAAAAAAACTCAAAGAAAAATAATAATAACTGGCCAATGAACCGACTGTTGGTGCGAAGATGACTTTTTTGCATAGTTCCCCGCAGGTTTTCAACGCTACGAACACTGTTTTTTTTGGCAGATGCTTCTAGCTAAAACAATTGAGGCTACCACCATGACTGTGAGATAACATCTCCTTAAAATTTCAGTTTTCTAGTTTTTCTGGTTAGCCAGTTAGCAAACTCACCCGCAAAAAATTTTCATGGGCCCGTACTTGAGAACCACGGGGGCAAGGGTGTCCATTATGGAGATAGGGGTCCATACATGCATGTAGATTAAATCCCCAAAGTTTCAGCTCTGTAGCTTTCGTAAGTCTTGAGATGGAAAATCGGTAGAGACGAACATACAGACAACCCCTCGTCAATATGCTTTTTCTGCATTACATTGCTGCAAAAATCGCACATTAAAAAAATGATAGAAACTAATAAATTGAGGTGCGCAGCAGCGGACAAATCTACCTAAAAACATTGCCCATAAATACT